TTTTTTTTTTTGAGTTCTATTATTATCCTATTTTGCAGATGATAAAACTAAGACCTGAAGAGGTTAAACAGTTCACTGCAGATAACATGGATAGTCAGAGGTGAGACCCACATTTGAATCTAAGTCTGTTTGACTCCGAAGCTCAGGCTCTTCGTCCACCATTGTTCCTTCTCCTCAGTCATATGTTCCACTATCTGTCCACTCAGTATTATTTGAGTGACAACTATGTCCCAGTTACTGCTCAGTCCCAATGCCTCCTGGGCATCTGCATAGAAATAAGAGCACAGCCCCTGACTCACTCAGGGGAAGAGAGGCACAGAGAGAGGAGCAGACTCCTGAGGGTAGGTCTCAGACAAACACCTGCATCTGGGGGGGGGGGGCGCTGAGCAGCAGGAGCGGGGAGGGAGGGAGCATTCGGACAAGCAGGCAGTGGGCAGCAGGGCAGGGTTGAAGGGGTGAAGCTGAGCTCGCACAACACCAGATGTCTGGGGAACCCTGATATAGCTGGACTTCACTCACCGATTTTGGAAGTAGGTCACCAGGCCTTTCTTCCTAGTCTGCCTTAGTCTGGAAGTTCCACTGAAACCTGCCCATCATGAGTGACCATACTAGTATTCCAGCATCACAGAAACACACAAGCCATGACAGGACAACACACTGACAGATGGGTGATGCTGCAGCAATGAACTTAAATATACCAGTGATGTGAGGGCGGCACAGGACTGGGCAGTGTTTCATTCTGTTTCTACATAACTAATAGCAAGAGAGCAGGCTTGGGGATGGGGCAGGAGGCAGAAACCGGACAGCAAAGGCTTAAGAAGGGAGTGGATGGTGAGAAAGTGGAGGCCTCTCTGTCTAGAATTTGGGCTCTGAGGGGAAACCGAAAGCTGGAATTTGGGCTCTGAGGGGAAACAGAAAGCTGGAGGGAGAGGCCACAGAGGGCAGGGAGTTTCCTTTTCTTTTCTTGGTTTTGCTTGGTTTAGGGCGGAGGAGATTGTGTGTGCTTGTCGGTGGGGAAGGGACTGACAGAGAAGGTGGAATGAATGCAGGGCAGCGAGAGGCTTTTGTCTCCACAACACTTACAACTGATCAGTGTGTTACATATTTATTTATTGGATTTGGATCTGTTTCCCCAACCAGACAGGAAGCCCTATAAAGGCAGGGACTCTGTCTTGGGGAAGGACACAGTGTGTCCCCAGCAGCGTCTGGCAAGTAGTAGGCCCTCAGTAAATGTTTGTTGTATTGAATTGAATGGGTTTCAAGGGGTCCTTAGGGAGCCTAAGGGTTAGACACTAGGTAAAAGAGGCTCATGAGGACCTGAAGAAGGGATTTCTCTCATGCTGCTGAGAGGAGAGAGACTGAGAGGAAAAGAAATCAGCTGTGGAGAGAGGAAGGGGCAAGTGTCTGCATGGGGTCAGGGGTGGGGTGGGGATTAACAAAAGAGGAGAATGGAGAATAATAATTGGTTTGGATGCCTTTGGTTAAAACAACAACCATGAAACAAATGAACTAGTTGCTGTCCTGTTGATTCCAACTCTTGGGGACCCAATGTGTGTCAGAGTAGAACTGTGCTCCACACACTTGCAAGGCTGTGTTCTGCTTCTGCAAAGATTAACAGCCAAGCAAACCCTGGGTGCACTTCTTTGTAACACATGGGGGCGCCATGAATCAGAGTTGACTCAAAGGCAGTGGGTTCATTGGGTTTGGACCTTTCAGAAGCAGATCACCAGGCCTTTCTTTTGAGGTGTGTCTGGGTGGGTTTACACCACCAGTCTTTTAGTTAGTAGTCGAGTGCTTAACCATTTGTGTCACCCGGGGCCTTCTCTGTAAGGGTAGCTATCATTTATCCATTAGCGTTATAGAGAGTCATAATCAGTACCCAAGTCCTAGTGACCGTGATAGCGAAGGATTCAATGATCGTGAAGATGGTGCAGACCGGGCCCCACATGCCTCCCTGCCTTATGTGCCTCAGCTCATATACGTACAGTGTATTCCTCACCACAGGCCTCAGGGGTGGGAGGGGTGACTCATGATTCCCCTGTTTCATTTGCTTAAACAGAGACCTGAGATGACTTGCCCAGGGTCACACAGCTCTGAAGTGGCTGAGTTGGGATTCTAAGTGCAGCCCAGCTGCTTTCTCCTTCCCAAAGGGAAGCAATGCAGAAATTCATCAGGGAGTTAGATGTCACAAGGAGGTACCAGCTGGAGTTGGGAAGACAACATTTTGCAGCAACTCCAAAGAATGGGGTTTTCTTGGGCTCCTGAGTGGCCTCGCCTGGGAACAGGGCAGAGATGGTTGGAGGTTAGCCACTCAGGAATACTAGACAGAGGAGGAGGGCAGAGTGAAGTTTGAGGGGGTGGCTGCCTGGCTCCAATGATGGTTCCTGGGGTGAAGCTGAGCCACACAGAATGAAACATGAGCAGCCGCGTGGGCTGGGAGAACCTTGGAGGGTAGGGCCCAGGGGACTTGACAAAGCCACAGTGTCAGTGTCATGAGAGGGAGAGGAAATCCAGAGGGGGATTTTGGAGTTTAGGAACATGGTGGTCCAAGACGGACCCCCTCTCTGTCTTTCCTGAATGCCACCCACCCTGAGATGACGTGCTTCAGTGAATAGCAGCTTCTGAACATGGAGAGGGGAAAAAAGTTCTCAACGGTTTGGGTGGAGGTGTGTTTGTGAGGGCTTCCTATGTGAGTTACCAGGAACTGTAGAGTGGGCTGGCACAGCACAGTGTGGCAGGCAACAGGGCAGCCCTTATAACAGGCAAGTACAGCTGTAGCCCCTTCTCCAGGCCTGAGGACAGAGAGGCGGATACACGGGTGAGGAATATCCACTCTGGGGGCTGCCTTGCCTGAAGAGTGGGGAGCAGGGCACAGAAAGGGAGCTGCCAGGGGGACACCTACCCCCAACAGTAAGTATCTCCCTTGTAAATAGCAGGGAGGCCTCCTCAATGTCTTCTGTACAATGGGGCTTGGAGACATGAGCCAGGGGTCCTGTGAGCACAGGGATGGGAGGCTGCTGCCTGTGGACAGTGGAGGACCTGCCCCACTGGTGACCCAGCGCTTCTAGCCCTCCAGCCTCTACCTTGCTATCTCTGCTCTCTGCACCTCTCATTTCTGCAATCTCCGCTCAGCTTCGAAAAGATCTTGGGGCCACACACTCTTTCCTCTCTGTGGTTGCTTGATAAAAATAGCATACCCTACAGCCCTCAGGCCTGCTTTGGGCTAAGACGGATGGTCCATGTCTTTTGATGGACCTGGGGCAGCTCTTTCGGTGCCTCTGTCACCACCTTCTGTGAAATGTCTGTTTCCCTTCTCAGACGCGTTTCCGCAAGCCATGCACTGCCCCTTGCATTCACAGCACTGCCTGTCAGGGACAAAGCTCAGGGCAGCGGAGGAGCTGTTTGAAGCCCGAACCCTTAGGCAGTTCATTTCCCCTTCCTGGGCCTCCATTCCTGACCTGCAGAACTCAACAGCTGATTCATTCCTTCAATGAACTACTATTAAATGGGACAGATCCTATGTCCACAGAGCAGGTCTACCTGCCAGGTCATTGGGAGGGTTTTAAGAGATAGTGAACATGGCAGGTCCCAGTCAGTGGTAGCTGATGCCCTCATCTTCCTCCTGTTGAAGCTCCTAGAGGCAGCAGAGGAAGTTTGGTGCAGAAGGGGTAAGGAAAGCCACTTTCCTTGGTTGGGTAGAGCCCCCAGAGCAGTCTATGGTGGAAAGAACCCACAGGAGTGTTCTTGGAACTCAGAGGAGCTGCTGGACAAAGGGAGGGATGGAGAAGCCAGCCCGGTAACTAGTGTCCCTTAGGAGTCCGAGGCTCTGTTTGGAGGTCAGGACTTGAGTCGTGCCAGGAGCTTGAGGTCAGAGTGCTGGCACGAGGGACCACTGAATTCAGGGACTTGGAGATGGTGGAGCACACAAGGGGAAATCCCAGCAGGTGTTAGGCCCACTGAGCAGCTTTGGAAAAACCAAGACTTTGGGAGGGAAGGGAAGCAGGCAGCTGCCAGCAAGGACCTTTGGGAGGCTAACTTAGAATCAGGCCTGACTTGAGACTCATGGAATTTCCTCTGCTTTCTGGGCGTGGTTTTTTGGTCTTTGGACCTGAAGTGTGTGTATTTGCCAAAGGCAGATGCTGAGGAAGGAAGCTGGGGGTTCTGGCCAGAAGGCAGAGTATGGGAAGAAACATGCACCCTTTGGCTCAAAGGAGCATCTGTACTGCTGAGGAGGGAGGCTGCAGGTGCAGTGACAGATGAAATGAGGGATTCAGTGAGGGTGCAGTGAGGGCACAGTGAGACCATAGTGATGGACACAGTGAGGGGAGCAGCGAGAGTCAACAAAACAATGAGATGGGTTGACACAGTGGCCACAACAATAAACTCAAACATACCAATGACTGTGAGGATGACTCTGGACCGGGCAACCTTTCATTCCGTTATACACAGTCTCCATGAGTCAGAGCCGACTCGACAGCTGCTAACAACAGACGTAGAAATAGCCGTTTCCGTTCTGCCCTCCCACCCTGGCGCCAGATGCCCTCTCAGTCCAGCATGCTTTCCTCTGTCAGCTTCTTGCCTCCGTCCCCGAGGGCCCAGTCTGGCTTGTGCCCATTCCTGCCTGTCTACTTGGTCCACCAAATCTCCATGGAAGAATCTGGCTTATTTCTCTGGTTATGTTTGGCCATTTTCTCCCAGAAGGTCAAGTGGTTCTGGGCATTTGCTGTTAGATGCACTCCTGGTGGGAATGTTCTTTTCAATTATTTGGCAATAATATCCCCACTAAGGCCTCCATAATGCCTTCTGCCTCCAGGGACCCCACGAAACCAACTCCCTGAGGGTTTTGCCTGGTCTCTTCATAGCTGGGTTGGCCCATTTCCTGTCCAGCACAACAGGTGGGGCCAAGTTGTGGGAGCCAGGCCTGGGGTCCGAAGGGGCCCTGGAGTCGTCACCTGATAGCCATGTCATGGGGATGTGTTTTCTTTTCCAGAACTCCAGAGATGAAGGCCCTCTTCATGCTGGCTTGGTTCCTGATTTGTAGTAAGTGCTGACCCTATGACTTGTGAACTTGTAACCTTCCACCCAAGTATGAATAATAAGTGAGAAGACCAGTCTTTGAGGTAGTAGAGACTTGAGTTTGAATGTCAACTGTGCACTTATTGACAGTGCAGATGTCAGCAAGGCCTTCCCCTCTCTGAGCCTCAGTTTCTTCATCTGTATCATGGGATACTATCACTCAGCTGGTGGGGTTGGGGCAGGATTCCAGAAGACAGTGTGTGCCACATGCATACAGGTTGTGGTCTATGGAGAATATGTAGTTTGCAAATGCGGAAGCAAATTTTTCAGTTCGATACAGGATAAAATTAAAAGTTAAAACAAAATAAATCAAAATGAAAACAAAGACCCTTAAATACACAATCCAGCACACAATTCCTGGGACATTCTTTTTTGTCAGGCTTGTCAAGGCCTCTGACACACCTCACTGCTGTCGGCTCCCAGATGGGAGGTACTTGTGCAGCATGGGGAGCCTGGCTTTAGGGCTCCCTACAGCCCTGCAACCTCAAGCAACCCCTCAACAGGTCATCTTTCTCTTTGCTGTTCTGCCAGATCCCTGGAAACTCCATGGCCAAAGAATGATAGAGAACAAGAGGTATCAATGCCAACATGAGGAAAAGAAAGGACTGCTCACACTAAAGATTACAAATGGTGCACACACAGAGTGGCCTTGTGAAAGTGGCTAGGACGGCTGTCTCCACCCTGCTGCACAGAGGCAGCTGGGTGCAGGGATTTGGTGGGTAGACTTTAGAGCTGGCCTGCCTGGGTGTGAATCCCAGCCCTGCCACCTACCATCTGAGCAACCTTGAACAAGCGACTTGGCTTCTCTGTGCCTCAGTAGTCTCATCTGTAAAACAGGGGCTATTCCAGTAGTAGTTGCAGTAGCACCTTCTTCCCAGGTTGGTCTTAGGGATTAAGTGAGTGTAGACATGTGAAGACCTTAGCACAAGCCAGCACAGAGAACTGGCTCAGTGAGTGTTAGCTGTTGTGGGTGAGGAAACAGAGGCTCAGGGAGCTCATGTAAGAGACTCAGGTCAGGAATGGTTATTATTAGTATTATAGACGTCCTCCTTATCAGAGCCAGATGCTGGGCTGGACAGCTAGTTGGTTTGCCACTGCAATGGTCTGGGCAGGCAGTAATGGCTTCTTGAGTTTGCTCAGCCTGTGACTCACTGTGAAACCCTGAACAAGGCACCTTTCCTTGCTGTGCCTCAGTTTCCCAGTGTGTAAAATGGAGAAGTTGGTTGCAATGCTCTCTAAGGGTCTCATCCTTCTCTAAGTTTCTATGTCTCATGTTCTGAATGATATTTGTGGCACGAGGGAGGGGTATATCGTCAGGAGAGAAAGGAAACTAGGAGCCCTGGCTGCCTGTTTCATACAACAACATGTAAAGTGAACATATTTCTTGATCATTTACTCTATGTCTGCCACTGTGCTCAAAATTTAAATATGGGTCTTAGTTATGACAACCCCAAGAGACAGGTACTGATTTTAAGGCTCATTTTCTAGATGAGGAAACTGAGACTGTGAGAGATTAAGTGACCTGTCTTACTGTGAATTACTTACTATGAAACATTGTACTGTGAATTTGTAGCAGAGTCAAGATTTGAACCCAGGTCTGCTCATTTTCCAGGTCTAAACTCTTAACCATTCCTCTGAACTTTCCCCCCTTGCCTTCTTGTTCTTCTCCACTTGGATGCCTCCAAACTCCAGGGTGGAGAAAGAGCAGAAGCATGCTGGGCATGCAGATTTGGAGCAGGAGTGTCTGGGTTTCATCTGGGGACATGGGCTGGGCTGTTTTTCAGGTGTGTACACTGTGCCAGGGGACTTGTTAGATCTGAAGTCAATGATTGAGAAGGTAACTGGAAAGACTGCTCTGACAAACTATGCCTTCTATGGCTGCTACTGTGGCTGGGGTGGCCAAGGGACTCCCAAGGATGGCACTGATTGGTGAGTAAATTTAATAATCACCCTTTACACTCCAAGTTCTGTACCTACAATCTCTCATTTAATTTCATGTTAATTCTGCAAGATGAGCATTAAAGCACCATTTTATAGATGAAAAAAAATTCAGAAACTTGGAGAAGTTAACTGACTTTTCCAAGAACATTCATTAAGTAAAACCCAAAACAACACCTAAATCTCAGTGACCTAACGTATCGCTTACCTATTGCCATGTAACAAAACACCTCAAAATATAGTAGCTTAAAGCAACAGCATTCATTCATGCTTATGGCTCTGCCATTTGAACAGGGCTTGGTGGGGTGGCTCGTCTGTGCTCCACATGGCTTCAACTTGGGCAGCTCAACTGGGGCTCAGTGATCCTCTCTCAAGACGGCTCCCTCACATGGCTGGCAAGTTCAGCCGAGGCTGTGGGCCAAGGATCTGTTACTCTCACTTAAGTCTCTCCAAGTTTGTTTGGACTTCCTCACAGCATGGTGATTCTTGGGTTCCAAGACTGACTGTGCCAAGACCACAAGACAAAAGAATAAGGTATATTTATGATCTAGCCTCAGAAATTCCATTGTTGTTGTTGTTGTTATTTACCATTGAGTCAGACCCGACTCATAGCGACCCCTCCTTGGGTTTCTGAGGCAGCATCACTATGGAAGTAGATTGCCCAACCTTCCTTCCGAGGAGTGGCTGGTGGGTTTGAACCATCAGCCTTCTGGTTAGCAGTCAAGTGCCTTAGGCACTATGCTACCAGAGCTCCCCAGAAATTCCATAGTGTTGCTTTTATTGTACTCTTGATTGAGGGAGTTACAGGCTTTAGGGAGGGGACATAGATTCCTCCTCTTGAAGGGGGAGTGGCAGAGTTCTAGATGACATATGAGATGGAGGATGTTGTTCTTCAGAAGACACAGTCAGTTACGTTAACAATTCTTTTTGCATACTGCAATGAAATAATTAACTAAATGGCAATCTGTAATTAAGTAGAAGGCAGATGATGGGAGACATGTTTATTACTGTTGGAATGAGAATGTATAGATAAGCCAAGAAAGGAAGTGAGAATGATCCATGGGATTATGGATTAGAATTGGAGGCATCAGAATGAATTCATGTCTAGCTTAATATAGATGGTTACATATAGAAATATTTATAGATATGTGTATATACATAGGATACTATAAACACATATATTTTTTGCTGTCAGGTGAGAGAGCTTAAAAGAAATGATACCCCAGTATCAACGAGCACACCCAGATATGGGTTCTAATACCATTCTCCAGTAAAAGGAACCCAGGGTTCTTGAAGAACTGGCTGATTTTAGGGAATCTACAAAGTGAGCATGGACTATCTTGAAATATCAGAAAGAAAGGAAATGCTCAAACAAAACAAGAACAACCCCCCAAAAAAAACCACATTAATGGAGATATATGGAAGAAAGATAGGAGCCACCAATGGCTAAAATTGGAACATTTTGAGCATCAAAATAAAGTAGTATTACATTATAACACAAAGTATAAATTAAATATCCATGATTCCATAGTTATATAACCAAAACCAAACCTGTTGCTGTTGAATTGATTCTTATTCGTGACAGCTCCATGTGTTGCAGAGTAAAACAGGATCCATAAAGTTTTCTTGGCTGTAATCTTTAAGGAAGCAAATAGCCAGAGCTTTCTTCCACTAGCACCACTGGGTGGGTTCAAATTGCCAGCCTTCAGGTTAGCGGCCAATTGCAAACTGCTTGCACCACCCAGGGACCTAGTGATGCCAGTGAATGATCGAAAAAATTTAATAAACAGGGCAGAAGAGATGAGTATCCCAAGCAGAAAAATCCCAAATAATTTCTGTAGGTTCTTTACCCTCAAGGAGGGTGTGGTGGTTAAGGTTTTGTGTGTCCACTTGGCTAAGCAGTGGTTTTGAGAGACTGGGCAGCTGGATGTAGTTATTCCTCAGGATGAGATTGTAGTCACCTCTGTGGTGGAATCTGCTGTGAGCAGTTAAGTAGTTGCCCTTGGGGTGTGGCCTGCTTCCAGTAGATAAGGAGAAGTTTGCAGAATGGTAGCTAGCTTTTGGCACATCTGGACCCTGCATTTGGCTGAGTCTTGGCCTGCCATGCTACCTGCCAGTCTTGAGATTGTACCATTTTACCTGTTGACCATGGACTCGTCAGCATCAGTAGCCAATAGCTGTGTGAGTTAGAAAAAGCCTCCAGTTTCAGTGGGCCTGGGACAGGAGGCAGAGCTGAAGCCCAAGGTCAAGGGACCTTTACCCAACCCCTAGAGCTGGCACTTTGCACTCAGACTTCTAGCCTCCTAAACTGTAAGAGAAAAAATTCCTGTTTGTTACAGCCATCCACTTGTGGTGTTTCTGTTATAGCAGCACCAGAGAACCAATACAGAGTGGGGACACAACTCCCCATTCTTTTGGTGTAGGATGTACCTAATGCCTTCCTTCTGAAGTATATGGTATGAGAAGGGAAAGAAAAGAGTAATGGAGAAACCTGGCAAACACTGTCTCAGCCGGGTGGTCAAGGTCAACATCAACAGTCATAACTCATGCTGATAGTATGTCCTCTTATATGTGATGAAAATGGCATTTTACCTCTCTGGACTTCTTCCCAATAACCCATAACCCCAGTCTTATCATGTGAAAAACATCAGACCAACTCCGGTGGTGGGGCATTCTACAAAGACCTGACCAAAAGTTTTCAAAATTGTCAAGGCCATCAAAACTAAAGCAAGTCTGAGAAACTGCTCCAGCCAAGAGGCACGAAGGAGACATGACAACTAAATGGAGTTGGTTTTGCTGCATGGGCTCAGGAACAGAAAAAAGGCAGTAAGGAAAAACTAAGGAAATCTAAATAAACTAAGGCCTTTACTTAACAACAATGCATCAATAGTGGTTCAGTTCAAACCCACCAGCCATTCCATGGAAGGAAGATGGGACAATCTACTTTCATAAAGATGTATGGCCTCGGAAACCCAATGGGGGTTGCTATGACTCAGAATTGACTTGATGGTAGTGAGGTGGTTTTTTTTTTTTTTTTTGGTTTATTGGTTCATTAATTATAATAAATGTATTATACTCATGTTAGATGTTAATAATAGAAACTGGGTATTGGTATGGAAATTCTGTCCCATTGTCTCAATTTTTCTGTAAATAGCAAAAGAAAATTCAATCTGCTACACCTAATAGCCATTTTGTTTGTTTGTTTGTTTTCATAATAGTTCAATGTGAACCACATGGTGATTCAGAGACCCAGGCTTCTTCTGCCTGTGGCTCTGCCATGTCTTACACCTCAGAGTCCTCTGCTGGGTCATCTCCATCCAGCTGAAAGATAGAGAGAGAGTGGTGGGTATGAGCATGTCTAGAAGTAGTATGTATGTATGTATATGTATATATATATATATATATATATATATATATATATATATATATATATATCTCACTTCTGCTCACATTCTACTGGCCAGGACCTGGTCATATGGCACATCTACCTGCAAGGAATCCTGGGAAATGTAGTCTAGCTGTGAGCCCAGGAGGAAAATGTGGGTCACTGAACTGCAGCCATAGTGGAAAATTAGGAAAGCACTCAGCCATATTGTCAGATTCTTTCTCTGGCCAGAGGAGGCCTCTGCTGAAGTGACATGGTTGAGTTTTTGCTCTTGTTAGGGACAAGGAGGTCAAGAGGGTGTCCCTGCCACTCAGGGCCTAAGTATTTTTTATCGACAGGTGTTGTTGGGTGCATGACCACTGCTATGGGAGGCTGGAGAAGAAAAGCTGCAACATCCGGACCCAGTCTTACAAGTACAGAGTCTCACGGGGCTTGGTCACCTGTGGTAAGGGTGCACCTCCCATTCAGCCTATACAAGTGCCTCATCTCACCTGGCTCTGAGTTCAACTGCCCCTGGAGGCTAGGCAGCCTGTACTTTGGGGGGCAGAGCTAAGGGTTAGGGCTGCAGATTTATTATAGCTGCATCAGACCTCCAGGGGAAGGTCACAGGAATCATTTTAGACTGAATATTTACTAGATGCTAGCACTTAGCATCCTTCATTTTACTTAACACCCCCCCCCCCAATACCTTATGGAGTAGATTTAGCCTCCCTGTTACCCAGAGAAGGAAACTAAAGCCCAAAGGCTAGCCAGTGCATGCAGCTAGAGTTGGGATCTAAGCTCAGTCCATCTGTGCTCAAAGCTAAGTCTGGGAAGGGAGTTCCTGCAGAACATGGGCTATCTCCACCATCAGACAGGGAGCTCCCAGGGCTAGGCAATGTGTGTTCTCCAGCACACTGAGAACTCCCTGAGGGTTCATGCCTCACCCTGGGTAGCCGCTGTGCCTCTTCCATCAGATTATGCATTTCTCCAGTCCTCCTCCCCCCTACACCCTGAAGACTGAGTGCTTCCTTGGAGCTGGAAGCACACTGGGGAGTCTGCTCAGATGAAAAGGAAGTGCTCAGACTGCAGCCAGCCTGGGAGTCAATGTCGGCAGAGCCCATCCCTCCCTCCTCATTCTGTACTTGATGTCCTGTTTGCAGAGCTTGGACCCTTCTGTCAGGTGCAGCTCTGCGCCTGCGACCGGAAGCTTGTCTACTGCCTGCGGAGAAACCTATGGAGCTATAACCCCAGCTACCGATACTTTCCCAACATCTTCTGCTTCTAGCAGCCCTCAGTGAACTGCTCCTGGGCCAGCACCTTTGCTCTTTTCTCCTACAACAAAGAGTTCACTGACTGCTGTTCCTCAG